TATAATATTCACAATATGACGCAATTACACTATCTTATGAACAATGAAATTTAAAAAAATAAAAATATTTTTCGTGTTTCAAAGTTTTAGCAGGGGTAACACGGTTAAAATGAACGCTCCTCACCTGAATAATCTTCTGACAAGGAAACGTTTGCACACAGTTCTGTGTTACGCAACGCGCGACCTACTTTTTCTGGTGCAACTCCACAGAATTGTCACATGGATAAACAACAGTTGTGAGAAAATATCCTAAAGGTTGGGCAAAATCCTTTGTCGAGAAGCTGATGGTACGACTACTTTCAGCTCAAGAAATTTCCCGCCATGAATGGTTCATTACCGTGCTCACAAAATCCCGCCACTGGCGTCTATCCTTACCAAGATAACAGATTCAAACCTAAATACGAAGGGAACACAAGGAAAGAAGTAACAAGATAATACAAAATTTTATACGTTTGTGAGTAACATGAAAAATATGATCTGTCACAAGGCGTTTTTCATGTTACGAAGACGTAACCTTTTTATTTATCCGAGAATCTGCTTTAATAGAGGATACCAGAAGATCCACGGTGGTCTAGCGGTTAGAACGCTGGCCTTGTAATCCTGGAGTCTCGGGTTCGATTCCCGGCGGTGCCCGAATTTATAACTTGTGTTGGGCAAGGCCGTGGTCTAGGCAACACGGAGTTTTCCTCCGTGGCATCCCAACAATTACTCCATTCACACACAGAAGAAGGCAATGGCAAACCACTTCTGGATCATCTGCCAAGAACGTATATGAACAGGTCCCAGTCCGAGAAAAGGATGGAAGGATCCTGTTCATATGGACCTGTCGTCAGACAGAACACTAAATAATATATATAATAATACCAGAAGATGAGTTGCTGGTTCTTGCTCCAGACAAACATACACGCGGCTTCTGTTGGTTTTGTGGATGCTGAACGATCTTCAACGAGGAAAACGAACGACAAGTGCTACTTACATCGCCGGAAAACTTAAATTGTTAAGCAAACATTTATCTTATTATGTTTGGTCGGAATATATCCTAACCTCATTAAAAACTCCGTCCATTCTGAGAAGGGGGACTCCGTCTGGGCCTACGTTAAGTCGTGCTACTGGTCCCAATATAGAATAGACAGAGTACAGCGTTATTGGTACTCCCAGAAGTCACGTGTCTTGTTTCTAGACCGATTTTAAAGACGAATGAGTAAAAACTTCGATATTTGTTTCATTAATCTAAGAATAACGTACTCTGAAAAGACGGAAATGAAGGGATGTTTATGAACGACCGACAAAATGGAGAAAAAATGGTGTTGGTTATTTTTTCCGTTCCAGAATTCGCTTAGAACCGAGAGCTGGATAATTTTTTTTTAAATGTTTACACAGAAACGAGTAAAATCCAAAAGGAAAGATTTGAAAATTTTCAGGGCGGTAACGATTATGACGATAAAGTTATTTCGAATTCTGGGATCGTGTAGACTGATCGTAGATGTCAGCCGACGTTTCGCAGAAGCGTACTGTCTCCATCTTCAAGGCAGAATCAGCCCACACGGCGCCAGACACCAGAAGATCACCACACAGAAAGCCAAAGTGGATAAAATAATAACAGGATAATATTAAAAAATATATATAATGGGACTGGTGTGAGTTGTGGATTGGATTTATATGGCAGGCGACAGGGTCTACTTGGGGTAGGGTGGGGTGGGGGCAATAAACCTTCAGGTTCCGTGAAAGAGGGAAATTTCTTGACTACCTGCGGCACTATCAGCTTCTCAAGGAGGGCCGCTCAGTGGAGTTATTCAATTAGCAGCAGAGCAGAGAGGAGTACTCAGACCTGCTCCATTGACACAGTCAGCTTGGTTTCAATCTGAATCCACTTGCTCATCAGTACTACTGACCTTGATACTGCAAACCTGTCCCGAAAGAACATTCTGAATCTACTAACGAAATTCGGACAAATTTATCGAGCCTTTAAAGCCCAATGCACCACAAATAACTCTGGATTTGTGTTTTAATGGATTTCGTGTGATTCTCGTCATAAACAGGGGCTGTTTCCGCGAATAAGACGATATAAGTTTTCAAATGCTGGGACATAACACTCGTATAATGAAAGAACCGTATATAACATCTCAACTTTAATCAAAATCTGTCAGACTATTAAGAATACGCGTAAAAAGTCTCTTTAGTGTTCAACAATAGTACCTGGTGTGAGTCCATTGCACGAAGTTGAACGAAATCGGCCGATGTATCAGTTAGTGGAAACAGAACAACACTAAATAATGCCAACATAAATCACACCGCGGTTTCCACGTTCTTTAAGAGAAATGTCCTTTATGTTTATCCATGAGAAACCACAATGAACCTAGTGCACATACTCTGAAATACAGAAATCATACACAATAATACAGAAAGAAAATTTGCAGGAACTATGTGGACCTATTCTATGATACAAACAGCCCTGAACGTACTTTCTCATGTTAAAATTACTGTAATGATCCCATTGTTAACAGAATTACGCGAAATTCCCTTCTCATTATATTGTTCCACTTTCTAAGAAAGACGTAATTAATTTATAACTAGTGTGGCAGCACTGTAATAATTAAAACGGTTCTGTATGTCTGCATCCATTGTTGGTTACAGGTTTGGTCCGTTTTACCCCCCAAGTTCCAGCCTGCTAAGTCGACATTGTCACGGCCGCCTAGATGCATCCTGTTTAACTGGGACATTTCAAGAAACAGCTGAATGCTACGCTGGTACCAAGTCGTAAATATTTCGTTTCGTCTTTCAAATGTTTCGCCTTTTAGATTAAGATCTTATCTAACACAAATGGAGGAAATTCTAAGCACGTTCTGACAAATGAACATTTAGCAGAATGATAATCACTGAAATATCACGGGAGGTTAACAAACCGTTTTGATTTGACACAAGAAATAAACATAATAAAATCACAGCGACCTTTTGAAGTCAGAAACTTGTGCAAATAATATTTAAGAATTCAGGTCGCACCGAAAAGAAAACACTACACTTCACCGTTACAAACATCAGCTTGGTTAACGCTGTTTACGGAAACAATGGCTGCCGATTTCTGAGAATCATACGAAACCCCCCCCAAAAAACAACAGATTATGTGGGTAAAACACAGTTTCTAATCCCCGGGGAACAGTCAAACGCGTAGTTTTCCCCAGTAACTTCCAAACGAGTACTGCAATCATAATTTCAGCTGAATAATAGGAAAAAAAAAACATAAATTAACGATAGTGATCACTTCTACTGACGTGGTATGTACCGACGTCAGCCAGCCGTCTGACAGGATGGCAGGGAAACCCAATTAGACTTCCTAGAAATAAAACAGCATCCGATACATGTCTCGTCTGGCCGTGCGTGGCTGTCCAAAGATTCAGATCCAAACAGACAAATGACGACACAAAACGCGACATTGCTTTAGTATTTAACCTCTGTTTATATATATTTCTTTCTATAGTGAATTCAGTTATTAATATAAATGTGTAATGTGCAGCGAATTTCGTAAAAAAACGCCATCATACGGCACTGACATATTTATTAAATGCCATATATTATATATTTAATTAATTTATTTATTCTGAATTTAAACGGTAAGGTTTTAGAACCACCAGTAACTTTCACAAAAGAAATGTTTTTTTTTAAGATGGCAGTATTCTGGGATGTAGTCAGGTGGATATCCACCGACGTTTCAGAGGAACTTACTGCATCCAACATCAAAGTAATGGATGAATGATTCAATATACACCAGACTTCATAGTGCAATATTCCAGGAGACAGCAACCTTCATACTCGTTACCGTAAGAAACTTAAATCTCATCTCATATTTAATTATTCATTGATGACTTATTTAACGACGTCATCAACAGATAATAGGACGATTTTTAAATAATGAATTGGAAGGGATATGGTAGGAAAGGTACGCTGCCTGAAGGGACTGGGGATAACCATGAAAACCGTCAGACAGTTCGAGATTTCAACGGGGAACCTGTCGGAGACGACGCTGGGTAATGAGAGAAATAAATTGCGTGACATTCGTTGATCTTAAAATTAAGACTACCCGTGAAGAATGACGGGAAAATACAAGTTACCATACGTATTATATCACAAGGGTCAAAATCCCTTAACACGAAATGATCAGCCACCGATGCTTATCACATGGATAGCTAAATGCAGGATTTATACAGCATGTCCAACAAATTGCAACATCGTCATTTCAGGTGACCTACACAAACCACAAAGTCCCATAATTTAAAAAAAAAACGTAATTTGTTTGTGCATATTTTATTTCTATGCTGTTAATATTTCATGAAAACATGTCATTTTCTTTTAAAATTTAATTTTCAATTTAACACGATTATATAAGCGATAATTATATCAGTGAGATCTTTGTGCCATGCAGTTGGCAACAGAGAAACAAACAGGTTTCTCTCTCTCTCTCTCTCTCTCTCTCTCTCTCTCTCTCAGCTTGCTCGTGTACTACTTTTCGATCTGTTCTATGCTTGTTTACGGAAACAGCCATTGGAACTACTTACTACGTATCCATACGACCATGATCTTTCTCTGGGCCATCTGGACGATGGCTGCTTGATCGTTCACTCGTAACACTTCTTTGCCCGATGTTCTTATTCTCCACACACGATGCAATTTATAGTTAAGTGTGGACTGATACAGATATGATCGTCCCGCTCGTAACACTTTTTTGCCCGATGTTCTTATTCTTCACACACGATGCAATTTATAGTTAAGTGTGGACTGATACAGATATGATCGTCCCAGTTAAATCAAGATTATACGAACTTTCTACTTACATGAATGAGGCTGTGAAATTCTTCGCGTATTTTACAAAATTTCGCGCCTGAGTTGCCAGCACTGCGATTTTTATTCTGGAAATCCCCCCCCCTCCCAACCCACCACCCGATTATAACCTCGCCAGGATTATCAGCTACCTTGATATTTATACCGATTTCTCCCAGATTTTCCAATGCAAACTTAAAAAAATACGACCAAAGATCGTGCAGATGCGCCGTGAATTCAGTCTACCAGCAACACTCCCATTATTTCCCAGATTAATTTATTTTACACTGAAAGGAAATATTGGTCAGTCGTATGTGGTTCACGGGTTGTGGATTGAGAACCCTTGTCCCAGAATCAACGACAGTTTTTCACTAGTTATCGGTACTTTTATAAAGGGGTACCAACTGAAGACAATAGTCTTAAATTGTGAGTGGATAATAAACTGGACTACGCAGTGGTGAAGGGACTTGGAATTGCGAAACATTCACCAGGACAAGGAAGGTGTCAAACTGGAGGATATTTACTCTCCTTTATAATAAAAAAATTCCCCACGTGGAAGGGGGGAAAAAATGTAACGGTACATGATTTTTTTAATTTCGTTCTAATGTTGTCACCTGCCGAGCGAAGTGTGCCGAAGTTAGCCGAATGAAACCGAATGTAATACACAGCAATAAGGTGAAGGAACGGCCTTCCGAAGAAGAAGAATAAGAAGAAGAAAAATGCGAAACCGTCCACTTGACACACTGACTTACTTCCTTATTCTTCCGAAATCACACGCAGATTATTAGAAAAATCATTAATGATACTGCATGTTCGACTGACACCAGAAAAATTTTACCCTTAAACTCATTACATTTAACGAGCTTTCAAGTTCTTATGGCAGCAAATATGAATTTACTAAAAAAAAAAAACCTGAGTCAAAACGTTTGGATCGTCAGATTTCGAGATTAAACCGTTTACAGCTGAGCTAGTTCACTCAGTTACTAATATACATGCACATAACACACCGGTAAGGACTCATTTTAACATTTTATAACACTGTATTTGTCCACAAAATGTATTATGGGTTTGGTATGAGTCCCTATAATGAATATAGATTATTTCCCTAAACAGAATTAATCAGATCGTCAGATTTCGAGATTAAACCGTTTACAGCTGAGCTAGTTCACTCAGTTACTAATATACATGCACATAACACACCGGTAAGGACTCATTTTAACATTTTATAACACTGTATTTGTCCACAAAATGTATTATGGGTTTGGTATGAGTCCCTATAATGAATATAGATTATTTCCCTAAACAGAATTAATCAGATCGTCAGATTTCGAGATTAAACCGTTTACAGCTGAGCTAGTTCACTCAGTTACTAATATACATGCACATAACACACCGGTAAGGACTCATTTTAACATTTTATAACACTGTATTTGTCCACAAAATGTATTATGGGTTTGGTATGAGTCCCTATAATGAATATAGATTATTTCCCTAAACAGAATTAATCAAATCAACGTTTAAATACGAACATTCCCTTGTATCGACAAACCCTGAACGCTGGTAAACATAAACGGCAAGTTAGTCTACTTCCACGGAACAAGCATCCCCCCCCCCCCCCGGAGGCCTGTACCAACGAGCTTGTTTAAAGCGACTAGAAGTTCCCGGATGCAAAACTAAACTCATCTTGCTCTTACAATAAATTATCTTATAATCATAAGCGTTGTGGAAAGAATTGGAAAGAGATGGCCCGATCTTCAATAACCTCTTTATCATATTCAGTCATTCAAATTATATTAATTTTATTTCAGCCTTGAAGAGTGTTTTACTTCTTCTAAACCCAGTAACGAAGAAGGAAGGATAGGAGTCGAAAGATACGCTCCAACGTCAACCAAACAAATTTTTACGAGTAAGAAAATAATTCACATAACGCACTTAAAAAAATCCAAAAACAACACATACGAAGATGTCATGTAATCTCGTATAAATTAACCGACGTTTTAGAGGTACTTCCTGCCTCCATCAACTTAATGACAGTGGCAGAATCCACCTCTGAAACGTCGGTGAACTTCAACCAGACTACACGGCGCTACAACCCCCTAAGACAGCCATCTTCGTCCTCACCGCCCTGGGAACTTGAAATATGTGTGCGACGTTTAGGTACAACTCCATGCATTCTTAACCTCGAAACCAAGTGTTTTGAGGGTACACAGGCCGTTTTCACATAACAAAACCCCGTAAAGCAAGAACGCTCGTAGAATTTTTTAGTGCGCGCAATTTTAGTCGGTCTGCGCGGCAGCTTCTACCGTGGCCGCGGATAGGCTACTGATGCTCCTATAATGAAGAATTAAAACCGCGGATATTCCAAAGCGCGTATAACGACAATCACCTGTATATTCTTAGGATTGCAGGCTGGGTGAACCTCAAAGCCGGTCTGAAGGAATGTAATGTCTTTGACGTATCCCTTAATTGCATAATTTTCAAGCTCAAATCTAATGAAAATTGGTTTACGAGTTACAAACATAGTGTGTCTTTCTCTCTCTTTCACCTACTTTCTGCTATGGAATAAGGAAAGTAGGATAACATATGAAATGAGAGGTAGTAACGAGCAGAAAAAGTCTGTCGCAATTGACATCGTTCATTAGCCACGTCCATTACGAAGACACGAACGGACGACAACGGAGAACCGGAAGGGACGATCCACAGCCACGAGGCTGACCGACCTTACGCCTCCTGGGCAACGAGGATACAGCTCGACACCTCAAATCCTTGTGACGTCATTCGGGCGCAGTTATTTTCTGAGCTACTAAACAGAAAAATCAGATCTAAAGGAATTTAATGTGTCTGAGGACTCTTTAGCGTGAAGGTATACTGAACATCTGTAGCTGATAGACTTTCGTCAAATAACCAATCAGTAATTAAGGAACACATTCGACTTCTGGGTTGTTGAAATGTAGTCATCAAACCTGATGACTACATTTCAACACATTCGACTTCAACCTGATGATAGAGGCAGCAAGCACCTCTTCTACCAGACTACACGGCGCAAAACCCAGAATACAGCAATTTTAAAACAATTCATAATCACCATACTATCTTTATGTTAGGCACAGTCACTGCCGTGGTATAAACACTCGGATTTTTTGATCTGGTCATCGTATTACAGTCCATTTTAAAATGTAATTAACAGCAGCTAATTCTACGTACACATAACGGGTTATATTTTGTAAGGAGTCAGGTAGTGTATAGTTTCAATCAGTTGAATTCATTTACCCGAATTTTCAATTGCCCATGCATTTAGTGAGACGTTTTGAATGACATATAGGCATCGTCATTCTTTTTAACAAAACAATCACGAACGCAATTCGTGAGTTAAGGAAAACAGCTTGTTACATTGTAATAGGTAAAAAAGAATAATGATAATATTATGAAGGAAATAAGATCATAAACACATTTTTGAAGGGTATCTTAAGTAGATTCTTACTCGACTCTCATACCAAAATTCTTGCGTTTTTTTTAATAATAGAATCGCACGTCATTTGAACACATAAAACATTTCTATTATTACAGCCTGAAGCTTGTGTTTGAAGGTACGTTCGAGTTACTTGATGTACGTAACGAGATATTAATAAATAATAAGTTGTTTTATCCCTAATTTGTTTGTGAAAATCTGTCTCGTGTCCTGTGGAAAATTTCACAAGCGAGGAAATTCATAATCTGTACAATTTATCCAATATTATGTAACAAGAAATGCAACACGAATTGACTGAGATGTGATCAGGATGTTTCCATCGGAAAATCTCAAGGAAATACTGCCTGTCAGTCCTAGGCACAGATGGGAGGATAATATTAAAGGGGTTATTGTTCCGTGTTACCTGGCCCAAGCTTACCGACATTTCTAAGGTTCTTGTTGCCTCCATCATCAGGAACAATAGTGCAGGCAGTAATTATCTCCCAAAGGTCGGCAAACTTCTACCAGACTACACGCCACTACAACTCAAGACGACTTATGGAAACTCTCGCTAATAAGTATTATGACAACTACGCCAATATTACTCAGTTATATGAAAAGGAACACGTATTATCAACGACACTAACATAGTAACGAGGTTGTCTGTAACTGCGTTGCTAAACGCGTGAAATGTAGGTTAAAGAGTGCGCACGCACGCACCAGGGCACGGTCACGTTAACTGGAGGCGATTAGAAGCGTCTTCTAAGATGGCGGGGGTTTTGGCCACTAAAGAACACCAAGAGTTAGTTTACCTGAGCACGAAGAAAGGTTCTAGTGTCCCAAAGGAAGTTTTTGACTAAAAATTAGGGCAATTTATAATGTCCTAGAAGTTTGTTATTTTAAATCTTAAGCAGCAGACCTATATTAATACTGTTTACGCGTGACTTTCCAGAAATTAAACTTAACACAAATAATATGCCCAAAAATTTCAGTTTGTACCAGTTTCAAAAACAATAACTTACGCCAAAATCAAAATATTCAACATGCTTAACAGATTTCATAAAATATCAAGGCTACATATTTTGCAACCGAGTTCCTGGACATTAAAGTTAGTCTTAGTATGCGTAGTGCATATTCCACAGGCGATGCAGTCGACCGTGAGAACATTTTGGAACTATGTACCACTTCTCACAGCGTCATGTTATTTTATGACTTAAGTGGTGATACACGCGAATACAGTACGTTATATAAAATACATTTTCATTAAGGAACTTGTGTCCCCTAGCAAATATTCCATCGTTTTTTTCTTCGCAGACATTTAAGATCGAAATAGAACTGTCATTTATTTCAACCATAACATCCACGAAGCGCATAATTTAAAGAATGCGAGAAATACGTACAGGTATTTCAATAAACGACACAATTAACTCAATGAATCAGAGTCCATCAGAAGCCAATATTCTCTCCGGCAGCCCAGATATTCCCAGCTTTTTATGGAAACGAACTTCATTTTCATGTTCGCTAGAATCCGCCACTGGACCCTATCCCGAACCGAAATAACACTTTCACATCGTATTTTCCGAAGATCCAAAATACCACATTAAAAATAAACAAATATCAAATGGAAACAATCTTTAATTGATGTATGTTAAACGTCCATATACATAATTTTGACAGGAAAAGATTAAGGAAAAACATTTTGGCTGGAGGACAAAAGAATTTGGTTTAAAAATAGTGGGATGAGGGTTGTAGACTTAATTCATCCGGCTCAGGATGGCTTCCAGTGGCGGGCTGCTGTGAACATGGTACTCAACCTTCGAGTTCCATAAAATTTTACAAATGTCATGACCAGCTGAGCAACTAACTATTATTATTATTTAGTGTTCTGTCTGACGACAGGTCCATATGAACAGGATCCTTCCATCCTTTTCTCGGACTGGGACCTGTTCATATACGTTCTTGGCAGATGATCCAGAAGTGGTTTGCCATTGCCTTCGTCTGTGTGTGAATGGAGTAATTGTTGGGATGCCACGGAGGAAAACTCCGTGTTGCCGAGACCACGGCCTTGCACAACACAAGTTATAAATTCGGGCACCACCAGGAATCGAACCCGAGACCCCAGGATAACAAGGATAGCGTTCTGACCGCTAGACCACCGTGGCGGTCGTATTTTGATTTTATTAAAATATATTAAATAATTTCCTACTCCGGGTGATCAGTTTTACAACACTGCAATATTGTTGTCTATTTGTGACGTCTATAGATAGACAACGCACATTTTGCACCACTGAAGTAGTTCTGGTTGTAATGAAACGCGTGACCTTGAGTCCTCTGAAACTGAAAATGTGTTATGTGCGCGTCGTTCAAGGCCGTGTCCAAACTTTTACCGATTGTCCTTTGTTAACTGAAGAGTACCACCCTTCCTTCCGGACCTCTTACTCATTCATTAGTTACAATACGTGTCCACAATAGAGCCATTATAGCGCATTTCTTTTCGGCGAAATCTCAAATACACTTCATGTACTCCCTAAGTGCTCACAAGTACCACCTTGAGAACCACGGCTTTAAAATGATGTAGAAAGTTTCGTTTTGTACATGACAGTTGGACTGAATGTTGTGTGTTCAAGGTACGACATTTAATCAAAGCCTGTCACTTGGCGAAACCTGTTACACGAGCAGTTACATTATGGAGACTTTAACACAAGTAAAAGACAGTAGCATATGGGACAACATCAACGCAACGGTTCAGGGAACGGAAGATATTACACGAAGAAGAAATATATTATTTATAATGTAACGGTGCACTATCCCGAGACTAGGCATTCCCCCATTTGATGAACACAAAGTCTTGCAAATGTTCCGAACACTGACCAGATGTGACTTGTGACGAAATTAACCAGTAGAAATGTAAATTACAGCGATTTTAATAAGGAAAAGAGATTCAACACGATTACGTTCATGGCGGTAAAGTGTTCCATTGTATCCGTACCAGGGACTTGCCGAACAAAGTCTTCGCTTTCAGAGATATTTTTAATGATTATATCGTGTGGTCTGTTCCAATTAAGAATTAATTCTGAAATCATTAATACTTTTAGGTAATTTATAAGAAGGAAGCACAACGTAACACATGTGAAAGGGTGGACAACCATTTTCTTCTTATACACGTAACTTCGCCTGCTTGCGTTATATAATCTTATATTCCCACACTTCCAGATTTTAATTTTTATTACAATTAATTTAAATTAGTTACGCGAAAAAGGTACCCAGAATACTCTATCACCGAAAAACGTGATGATACATGACAAAGCCTAGAACAGAAAACGAGACACTTTCGCAATGGTGGACGTGTGGCCCTCTGAAGTCAACGCTGGCCTGAATATTATTTAAAAATTCAGTTCGTACCGCAAAGAAAATCAACTGATTAATGCTGCTTAAGGAAATAATTGTTTACAGTGAGAATAATTCAAAACCCATAAATACAAAATGAAACGTTAACTGACTGTCTAAGCAGGTGGGGCACACCAGTGGGCTTTAGAGGCTTAAACAGCCAAGGTGGCTTTAATTAAACCTACTTAACTCTCGTGGTTCATAATATTCTATACTAAATCTCTGCAGCTGAGAAATCATTGAGTATACCAAAAAAGAAACTACAGTCAAAATGAATATGAACGGTCGATTTTAATCGTAAAAATGTTTGTATCATTTAACGCGATAAATTGATTAATCCATTTTAAGTTCGAATCACATAATTAACTATGAATATATCAGTAGAAAAACCACAAATACGAAAGAAATGGAATTACTACAGCGTCGAATGATCTGACTCCACAAAACTAAGCCACATTAATAAAAAAAAATACGGGTCCATTTCACTCGTTGTAAAAAAATTTCACTAACGTAATAAAACATAAATTAACACAAACATATGAACATCGCTGAAGCACATAACCCTACCGTCTGTAATAAGGTCTCTGATGTTTAATCCTTCCACACACAATTTCTTATAATCTGCCACTTGTATTTATAAACAGAATGTCTGTTCACTGTTCACAACACACACTCTCGTTCGATATAAGTCGATGTATCACTCTTAACGTCTCTTCTGTCGCTGCCGTGTGAGATCCACGGCGCTGGACGTTAAACTAAATGGGGGTCACCACTGAGTTCTTGCCATTTATACCGGCCCGCTTTCTAGTGACGTCACTCAAGTAGTTCAACCAATCCCTTCTACGATCATCAGAACCCAGTTCAGCTTAATATCATTCATACTAGACACCGTATATTTGATTTGTGTTTGGCTGTCTATTGTGAAGACTATTATATTAAAATGTAGTATCACGAAATAACAAAGATTCGTAGAAAGGAATCATTGGGAGCATCTACTCCCCCCTCCCCCCAGGCAAGATATATATATATATATATATTACACGAAGAATTTCGAAGAATCATCAGACTGATTTATTTTCATGACATTGTATTTGACGGTTTATTAAACCTCGCTCGTTTTGTCTGTCCACCTGTATGGTTAAGACAATTCACTAACCCCATAAAGCAGTGTCGATCTTGAGAGGATAACAGTCCTTCAACTGGTAAAGAAATTCCCGCCATTTCTGGAACCCGAAGGCTCAATATAGTGTGGAATCTGTTATAAACCAGATTAATCCAATTGAATAAAAATTTTCTTGGATATTATCCATCGTCTAGTAAAATATAAAACGTAAAAACGACGTTTCGGATATGGGACTCGTATCTCCGTCTTCAGGTTCCTACACAGTTGGGCCCAATAGATATAGCTAATCCCTATCTCCGGACCGGAGATAGAGTCCCATCTCCGAAACGTCGTTTTACGTTTTATATTTTACTAGACGATGGATAATATCCAAGAAATTTTTTTTGTTCAATTGACTCTTCACCATCGTCAAGAAGTTTTAGATCTGATACAGATTAATCCAGTCCACAAAGTATTTAAGTTTTATTTTAATATTATATTCCCATTTAAACCTATAACTACCAAATGGTTAACAGTTGAAAACTTCGTTCATAATGAAATATCTGTATATAACATCCGCGGTTGATAGGAACTTGTTAAATATATTAAAAATGTGTTCACTCTTATTATTTGTTAATGCTGTTCTCCAATTCACAAGAGATGGCTGTCTTCTGGGATGTACCAACACATACTGACCAATGTTTCAAAGGGGTCTACTGCTTCCATCATCAGGGAGAATAATAATGGCTGCTAGACTGCAGGGTATTATTAGATCACAGAAGACGGTCATCTTCATAACCTAAAACCTCAAGTCTCGCCATTTTACTAAACTTTATTCGAAAATGTATCTGTCATCATTTCCATCTTATTTCCGGGTACAATATCGTAACTTGCATCGGTGTCCAGTAAGTACCAACCGTACCACATCAAAGAAGGTCGCGAGCCGCAGACTGACCACCCCTAACCTTAAGATATCTGTGTTGCGAGGCACACAACTTTCTTTCGATCTAGTGGAAACGGATCCTTGACAACGACGTCATCAAGACCACGAACCACGGTGGGACGGAAAGACAGAGGCGTGTAAGCCCATATTAACCGTTCCTCACGAGTGGAAATTTCTCTCCTGGAGATTACCAGACACCTCACACGATTAATTGCCCACATACTAAGACAGCTAATGTCGCCAAACTTACTACCACTCCCGCTAATTGCTCACATACTAAGACAGCGAATGTCGCCAAACTTACTACCACTCCCGCTACACATTCCGAAGTCCCTGGTTAAAATTTTCGCTGAAATACCAGATATCATGACTCATGCATTGTGGTTTTATTCAGACCCTCCACGAAAATGATGATACAGTATTTGAATTTATGTTACGACGATTTTATTTCAATATATACATTACTAATTAATTATTAATAATTGTGTTTCGACGCTATAAAGCCTAGGCTGTTGAAAATATCGCCAAATAAACTATAAACAAAGAAACAAAATAAATTTAAAACGTAGAAACAAGACAGTTTACTGATATATGAATGAGTGCAGTCACAAATACATATAAGAAACACGAAATTCAAATAAAATTTTTAGACTGCAAAATCTTTCAGAAATCAAGCAATTAGAAAATCGATGGTACATGGGAAAATAATATTAAAATGAATCGCAGAAAAAGGAGGTATTTCTCTGCAAAGATCAAAGGTCACTAAATGACTGATACTCACACAACTTCGATATTGAAAATATCTATATACAATGCAAAATGAAAAGACAGATATGTAATAGAATCGATATGAGTTATTCGTTTTCGTAAGTCCAAAGCGTGCATTTTAAAATAACCATCCGCTATCCGCGCACAACCCAATTGTGCAGCCAACAAATGTGAATAACATTCACAACAAAACCGAAGCATGTCTCATAAAGATTATGATCTTAGTGTAAACTAGGCTGAGTTAGGAAACAATACGTTGTCAAGTATCAGCCTACTTGGGGGGCGGGGGGGGAAGGGGAACGCGTTGTGTTTTACTCTACTTGTCATAGGGTAGGCGGCCCGGAACATCAATACTCCTTTAAGTAGGACTTCGGAACTGAACGTTACAGAAGGCGCATCCTAGATCCTAATAGGTGGCATTGCCCCCCCACACACCCTGGTGACTCTGAACACGTATGGCTCTTTTCCAAATTCGTCTGTTCCCTTTTTTTTTGGCTTTAGTAGCCTATAAAACACAAGGTGGAAAGTTTTTGGTGTGTCACCTGGGGTTGCATAATTCTTTTAAGTCCAGGATCCAGGTTCGCATATTAATGCCCGGTTATAAGTTTGTTAGTTCGTACCATGACCCCCTTAAACCGTCTCATTCACTGAAATCACATTATGAGCTTTCTCTAGAAATAAGCGTCTCGCCGATTAGAAAGTGTATTCATTCATTTATTTCGTTCTAAATACCGATATGATCTAGATCCTAGAAAAAAAAGAGAAAAGTTATAGACCCTACGCGCTAATATTCACCATCTTAGACCTTTAAATAAAAATATACTTTGCAACAGTGAAGATGGAAGCGATATATCCCTCCGAAACGCTGGTAATCAGCTACAAGACTACAAGGTGTCACAGCCCACAATAAGAACAAATTCCATGGAAACCCTGCGACGGGAACAAATCTATTTTTATAACAGCACAGTAATAAAGTAATTTAATGTAGGCAGGATGGAATTCCATTGATGGAGCGAGAAATGCCATTTCCAAGGTCACAAGGCCGGTTCGTATGTAGACCGGCGGGTCCATCGTGTCCTACAGCAGATTACAAACCCGTCTGCCATTACACTACATGTGCGGAAATCAGGCTCACAAGACACTGGAGCGTATAATGAACACGATTAACCTAAAATATAATAACGATTACGTGGCGTGTTCATCTCAAGGCGTACAAAGCAAGCCTTTGGCGAATGCTACATTGTATCTGAAATATATGGGACTCCTTTCCTAAAGACTTACTTTGTTGCATCAAATTTTAAAGCTGAAGATCACGAAATAATATTCAAAATCATTTTAATGATTAAAATTAAAAACCACGCGCCACAATTACAAAGATCACCTGGTTAATGCTGTTTAAGGAAATAATCTCTGTTTAATCCGAGGATCATACCAAACATAAATACACTCTAAGGACAAAATACAGACTTCTAATTATTAATCAAGTGGTACATATAGTTACCATTGTGTTTCAAAGGATTAACTAACTCGACTTATCAAACAATCAAGGCCTTTCACGATTTTTAAATTAATAACATTTTTAAAAATCAAGAACGAAAGAGAACACTCGAAAGACCTAATAGTAGTTCAGAGGATAATATTAAAATGTATTTAACGGAAACAGTCTGAGGTTGTGGATTGCATTAATCTGGTTCATCTGATAGAAACCAATTCTGGGCTCTTGTGAACACGCTAATTAACTTCTTGAGCCTACTATTAGCTTCAAGATATACTCTGCTCCACAGAGAACCTAGTTTGTTGGTTAACGGTTATTATCTAAATATAGTGACGTACTTCACACCCGCCAGAAATTCCCTCAGGATAAAATACAATTAATTTTGAACGGTTATAGTTAAGAGATGCCACGGTGGTCCAGCGGTTAGAACGCTGGATGGCCTTGTAATCCTGGGGTGTCGGGTTCGATTCCCGGCGGTGCCCGAATTTATAACTTGTGTTGGGCAAGGCCGTGGTCTAGGCAACACGGAGTTTTCCTCCGTGGCATCCCAACAATTACTCCATTCACACACAGAAGAAGGCAAGGGCAAACCACTTCTGGATCATCTGCCAAGAACGTAACTGAACAGGTCCCAGTCCGAGAAAAGAATCGAAGGATCCTGTTCATATGGACCTGTCATCAGACAGAACACTAAATAAAAAATATAAATGAACTTCGTATAGCAGCTGTAACTTGTCTTTACGAGCTCAGGTAATGAAGGAATTTCTGGTATCAGCGAAGTGTGTCGAATGAGGAGATAACTCTGCATAATTTACCTTTCTTTGCCATTCGACGATTATGAATGCTATCTCCATTTATACGAACCTGACTAAATGCACTATCGACAGACTGCGTGGTTAACTCACTTCATGGAGCCAAGTCTCTTGATGAGAAGCTAACAGTCGCTCAACAACTCAAGAAATGTTCATTACTTTTTTCACAACAACCCGCCACTGGTCCATATCCTAAGCCAGATTAATCCAAAGAGAAATTTACTTAGCACTGACGCTAGTTATGGATACTCGCTACGTAAATTCCATACGGAACCTTCGCCGACGACAAACGCTGCACAAATTCACTGCCACGGGCTTCATCTGTCGGCGTACGCGAGTAAAGACTAGAACCTCGCACGCCACCTGCTTCTTGTAGCATCGGCGTCATTATGCAGCTAACAGCAGCATATTTGTGGTAGCCCCATGACCTCCTTCGAAATGCGCCCACCTGCCCCCTACACGTCCGGATGTTCCCACAACGCGGTCATGTAGCTACAAAGGATGCATTCATAAGCTGATACTACAAGGATGAAAACTTAATATCGCTATGAAATGTTCCTCGGTCATTCGCGGGTTCGAATTCTGCCCATACGATGACTGTTATGTGTTTCCATATCAGATATTCACTACGCGTTATCTGCTTTCTAGAAATTCGAG